AGTGAGGGAGGTGAGAGACGTGAGAGAGAGAGAATGTAATTTAGGGTTTGAAAATTAATTTTGGGTTGTGTATAAATCAATTTTTATAACGTTATTATTAATATTCAATTAAATATAAAAAATCTGTATCTATATCTAAAATATCTGATTTCTGAATATTAAAACTTAAAATCTGTTTTTTGAAATTGGATTTTGAAAAGTAGGGGTATATGTAATTTCCACTAAAAAAATTGTCAGGCCTCAAGGTTTTTACACTTTCTTTCTCATAAATTCTTATAGTAAAAAATGGCTCCCCATTCCCAATTTTCTTTTTCCACTTCAATTAATATATCGTTGTTCCGACTCAAAGAAGACTTTTCTCAGGATTCATGTTATAAGACGTGAAAGTTTTATGTTGATGTCAATCTAATGCAACTTTAATTGTTTACTTGTTCGACACTGATTATCAATAAACATAATTGAAGAAGTTATTTCATTTTTTTGTATGACAAATTAATAATATAAAGTGTAACTTTAATGTTGCCATGATAAAACTATGCACCGTTTACAAAGATGTGTCAAGCTAGTGAAAATAGTAATAAGTACTTTATCATTATCCCTAAAATATAATAAAGAGATTCATGATAGAAAATAGAACTCTGTTTGCATTACAGGGACTTGTGAAGACGTTTGGGTGGGGCCCGCGCTACAGTGAGGGGCCTGTAAGGCTTCTGTGAAATTAATTCCTATACACCAAGAATTATTCTAGAAAATATATCGAAACAAAAGCTCTTTTCTTTTAGGAGTGAGCAGACAATATTACTATTCTTTTTTCTGCAATGAATAATCGAAAAGTAAAAGAGTATATGAGGTAAATAGAAAATCCATCATATCAAATGATAAGCCATTCATACTTGAGATTTTAGATCAAAAATTGCAAAAACAAGAATAGAAAATAAAAAGAAGAAAAAAGTCGACATTTTTACATAATTTAATGCATAATCATCTATTTACAATGCATCTAAAGAATTTAAGAGAAACTCGTTTCATAGACAATTTAAGTCAAGTGCTTCAACATGATATCAGAGTAAACACATATCTCCAAGTCTTGTTGCAACTCATTCAAATGAATTTTGCACGTATTAATTAGGGTTCAATGAAAAAAAAACACGTGAGAGCATATTGAAGACAATATTTAAACGATATACATATCATCTTATTTAACAATTTAAACTTTTAAATTAAATGATTCAACAAGCTCAAATACAGATAAAAAGATAACATAAATTCAACTCAAACAAACTTTTGATACATATTCTAGGATATATCACACATTAATTCTAGTACAAATCATTATAGTAAAAAAGCAGCTGACTTGCAAATTACAAGAACTAGTGATCGGACCAGGAGTGCTTGATTCCCCTTGCTAGCATGCATGAAATTTTATCGAAATTCCACTGTTATTTCACCTTTCTTACCTCCAAAGAAACACCATATCTATGAGTCAGCGCTCGAAAAATCCTCCGGGGTAGTGGAGATGGAAGAATCATCGTGAATTTTCCTATAATAAAACCAGTTGTTATTGATACCTTCTTTTCTGTTACTTCTTCCATAACCCGAGCTTGAAGATGGAATAGATAAGAGTTCCCTATTGATAATATGGTCAAAAACCCACAATAGAATCCAGCCACAACCGCAGAATTGATTATCTTCATGCATATAATACTATATTACTATATCAGGCGTTCCATATTAGTGTCGCTTAACTGATCGAAAATTTGGCTAAGTATTTTTTCTTGAAATTTGTACTCTATTAGATTTACCTCGCAAAAAAGATTTTAAAAAAACAAACCTCGAATAATAACATATATTGGCATGGATGGAGTTCTACTACTCCCGAATCCACGAAGAATTACAGGGGAGGTATGAAGGGAGATTCGAACTCATATTGGTCATGGGTTGAGAATAGGAATCGATAAGATAGAGATCATTGAAACATGACTAAACCATACAATGAAAAGACCATTATTGGTGTTGTACTCAATCTAAACTTGCCAAAAAGAACTATAAATTAACTCAAGAAAATACATACATATGTATACATATATATATAGTGGAAATATTGTGGAGCACGCATAGTTTAGAACCCCTATTCTTATATTCACGCATGCAGATATTTTTTCTTTAATGTCCTTTGAGTTGGGCACGTTTCCACAGGACAGTGAAAGGAGCTGCAAAGAAAGAAATGGAGAAGGTGAATTCTTTTCGTTTGGCCCTAAAGCTGGTCCTCCTTTTTAAAGTATATATCCCACTCTTTGAAAGGCTCTTTTTCTCTGCAGTTGTTTGAATTTTACCTCTTAAAAGGTTCTTTTTCTATAGTCTTTGAATTTTTACCCCTTAAAGGGTTTAATATATACAACTTAATTGATGTTAGAGACTAAGCTCATGTTTGGTTTGGACAAAAAATAGATTTTTAGTATATTTTGATTAAATTTGATGAAATACGTGGTTGAAAATATGTGCAGTTAAAATTAATTGTTGATTTTAACTTATATTTTAATTAACTTTTTTAATCGAACCAAACAATGACTTTTATCTCATTATCATCATATTTTGGATATGTTTTCATGCTTCAACTTAACAGCTTTTTCACGTAATGCGAAACGTAGGAATAAATCTATGAGTAAAAATGTGTACTACCCCTCTTAATAAAGTTGACATTTTAAGATAAATTATCAAATTTTAACACAAGATACTATTATGTTTGGAAATTGATTATAAACAGTTTAAATTATTTAAAAAAATAGAAATAAATAATATATACGTGGTTAGTACTTGTGTATTAATCGAAATATGTGGATATAAATTATTAAAAAATTTAGAAACATAAGCCAAACATGGGAGTATTCAACGTTTTTTGAAAGTGTAAAGGACCACGGGAAGCACCTTACGTGAGTCGCGCTGAAACATTACTTCCAGGCTGATTACTTTCGGGCCTCGGCCCATCTATGGAATAACACGTCAATTAGAAAATGGCAAAGCTACTTGCACGCCTTTCTTTAGAAAGTACTATGTGTGCCCATTTTAGAACACACGAGATCAGACGTTGAGTGAAAGACAATTCATGTGGATCCCACTTGTTTTTGAAAATAAAACTTGAGTTGGGCCTTTTGGTAAATCCATACCAGCCATTTTTAACTTGAGCTAAGGCCCAATTAAACTTCCCATGGGAATGTAATGTTTAGTCTGCTGAAGCTAGGATTTTAAGTTGGGGAAAAAAATTCAAAAGTCTGGTGTTAACTTTGACACAATTCAATTTTCAGGAATCAAGTTTTAAAATGCAAAACTCAAGTATTTATTTATTAATTAAAAATATTTTTATTNCCCCTCTTAATAAAGTTGACATTTTAAGATAAATTATCAAATTTTAACACAAGATACTATTATGTTTGGAAATTGATTATAAACAGTTTAAATTATTTAAAAAAATAGAAATAAATAATATATACGTGGTTAGTACTTGTGTATTAATCGAAATATGTGGATATAAATTATTAAAAAATTTAGAAACATAAGCCAAACATGGGAGTATTCAACGTTTTTTGAAAGTGGAAAGGACCACGGGAAGCACCTTACGTGAGTCGCGCTGAAACATTACTTCCAGGCTGATTACTTTCGGGCCTCGGCCCATCTATGGAATAACACGTCAATTAGAAAATGGCAAAGCTACTTGCACGCCTTTCTTTAGAAAGTACTATGTGTGCCCATTTTAGAACACACGAGATCAGACGTTGAGTGAAAGACAATTCATGTGGATCCCACTTGTTTTTGAAAATAAAACTTGAGTTGGGCCTTTTGGTAAATCCATACCAGCCATTTTTAACTTGAGCTAAGGCCCAATTAAACTTCCCATGGGAATGTAATGTTTAGTCTGCTGAAGCTAGGATTTTAAGTTGGGGAAAAAAATTCAAAAGTCTGGTGTTAACTTTGACACAATTCAATTTTCAGGAATCAAGTTTTAAAATGCAAAATTCAAGTATTTATTTATTAATTAAAAATATTTTTATTAATTAATTATTAAATAAATTTATTAAATATTTAATTCTAATATAATATAATCTAATTAACTCACCTCACCTCCACAACCCCTACCGTTTCGGGGACTATTCCGGCAATCGGAACACCACTCTTCTCCGGCGATCCTTTTGACGACCGTTCTGAGGACTACTCCAATTCCGGCAATTATTCTGATGACTATTCCGATTACCGTTCCGCCGCAGTTTTATTCCGACGACTGCTCCGATTTTGACAATTTATACAATATGGTCACAGATTTACAATTTAGATAGTCATACATTATTTTTCAGTCACAAATAATAATTTTTATTCGTCACATATTATTTTATGGTCACAATTCAAAAATTTTGTAGATCACATTTAATTCGTTGGTCACATATTTCAAAATTAATTGGTCACGTATCAAAATTTATAGATCATTGTTAATGTATTTTTTCACTCTAAATTATTTCAAAAAAAAGACAAATAAAACCATCTATATCTCTACATTCCCTCTCCTATCCCATGAACCACTCATCTTCTTTTAATCCCATGACTTTGAGAGGAACTTATCATCAATTCTTAGTACCTCATCACAGCACCAACAAAAGGTTCAAATTTTCTCCAAGAAAACAATCATATCAGGGCCATAAATAATTTCCTTCAGGCCAAAAAACTATGAAGAAATCTGAAAATGAATCTGAAGTTGAAATCCTCAAGGCTGTGGCTCAAGCATGGCATGGCCATTCCAGCAGTTCAAAAACAGAAACCTCGGAATTCGATGCCCGCAGGTTGAATTTCAAGAACAAACCAACTAGGTTCAAGCTTGAAGCAATGGGTGTGTATTCAAGAGAAGACGGTGTAAAATCTTGGGATTTTGGGCAGTCACTTTGGGATTCTTATGAGATTGTGACAGTGTCTAAAAGATTGGAAACTGGACTACTGTTGGAAAATCCATTTTCTGCAATGGATGAACAAAATTCTGCTGCGAAAAGGCGAAAAGAGAGCTCGAATAGTTTGAGGAAATTGTTCAATAGAACGTCTTCTAGGAGATTTAATGAAAGATGATTTGCTAGATTAGTCAAGTTTTTATAGTGTGATTTTATTAGTTTTGCTTTCTAATTACATATAATTTCAATTTTGAGGAAGGTGAAGCCTTTTCATTTTCACCCTACTTGTCAAAGTGAAAATGAAAAAAGAACATTTTGTGAATTACCTTTTGAGTGCTGTTTCATCTTGAAAATGGAAGAAATCATACAATTTTGCTTGTGACATGATAATACAAGCTAATGTTCGATTGGTTAGACTTGACAGTACCGAACATGACTAGGGATAATTGAGTCACGGACCTAGCAAACTTCGCCTACCTAGGTGGTCCAGCAGGATTGCCATAAGTTGTGTGTGGTTCATACTATCAAATGTGCACGTATCAAATGCAGGTTTTGTTGCACTATACTATCCAAAGTCCTGTGTGCGCGCTAATGTCAAGCTTTCTGGCCATATGGGTGAAAGGCTGGTCTGGGGCCTGTGATGGGTGTGGGGTACCCCTAAGAGCCGCATGGGTGGTCCGTATCCTGAACACGTCCAGCACGGTTAGTCGAACCTATCAATTGTGAGACATCTTCTGAACCCTTGGCGAGGATTTTGCTATTTGTACATTTTTTACCACCTTTTTGACATAAAAGTGTGTTGGCAATATTTTATTGGAGGAAAAAACAGCTTCTTTTTTTAAACTGTTCAATGACAGAATTGTCAAAGAAGCTGTCAAACAAGACGTACATCAAGCATGGTTGTTTTGGGGAAAGTTTTGTACCCTAGAATATCAGAAAAAAGGACAGCAGAAGAGAACTTAAAGAAAACACAGTCATCTTATTTGTACCAAGCTTAGCATAGAAGTTACGTCATTAAGATAGTATGTAACTATGCCTGCCTATATGATTTGATATTAATACGCCTTAAAGGTTTCCCATTTGCATAATTCAAAGCTCTCGTGCTTTTCTGCGATGAAACCATCGGCTTCCATATCAATGCTTTTCTCCTCACGAACCTTGTTGTTTTCCATTTTGTCGATTTCAATAGGGCATGATTCTCGTTTCTACCTAGGTGGCGTTATTGTTAAGAAACTCGTGGACATTCGGGTACTGAGGGAAATCGGAGATCATAGTAGGCATTCTTTGCAATCGGGTAATGTATTTGAGGTAGTCTGAGGCCGAAGACCTCGTGGCGCCACCATAATGGTGGCTGCTGATATGGTGATCATAGTTTTTGCTCATTTTTCTGCCCAAACTAGCCCTCTTGCCCTGCAGGACTTGCAGTAAAGCTGCAAATCATATGTATGATGATTTTAAGAATATGTTCTATTTGAGATAGTGCTCTTTGGCGAGTTCTTGAATCAGAATCTCTATCTTTAATCAGTCTCGAATATAATAATTTGTGAGGGAGTAAAAGAGCTAAATTATTGTGCCATTAACACATTAGGATGATATATATTACTACTTCGGGGAAAATAGCTTTATGTTTTTGCTATGTGGCGAAATTATATTAGTGCAATGTGATAGGTATAAGCCGCATCACAAATTATAAGAGCAACATTGCGAGCTATGTTCACTCGCCCTTGTAGGTTAACACTACAAGCAAGAAAAGAGACAAGAACAACAAATTCATGCCTCACAATTTGTGTCTCGAAGAAAATGAATCCTTAATATCTTTTATAAATATAAGAATATTAGGACGACCTAATACATGTATGAAATGTCTAAAATATATTCATTATTTAAGGGAGAAGTATACAAGCTCGCCAATTATTACGCAATCCTCGTATTTGCAATTTACATATTGCATTTTGGAAGATCAATGTTTTTTTTGGTGGGGTCGGGAAAGATGAAAGGTTGAGATAGTTGAACATGATTTTATGTACTTTTTCAAAATTGTTAAGAGAGAATTTGTTATGCTAATTCGACTCCATGATGAACTAAGAGGTCGAATATTTCGTAATTTTCATCTCGAGCAAGTAAAACTTGTGGGATTTTACAATATTGGTGGCATCAACTAAAGAACAGAAGAGGAGATTTTACATATACAAGGAAAGGCACAAACACTAGCCCATTTCTTGTTTCAACCACACAAATGGCTCTCTCTCTTTCAACCTTTCCCGCCAAGACCTTAACGACAAAAACTGTCATCACTCACTTCCCACAAAACCCAAAAACCTTAATTCTTGAACAATGCAAGACCACTAGAGATCTCAATCAAGTACACGCCCATCTCATTAAAACGCGACTCGTCCACCACCCGTCCGTGGTTGAACCCCTCCTTGAATCGGCCACTCTCCTCGTCTCCGATGCCACCATTGAATATGCCGAATCCATTTTCTGTGCACTCGAAAATCCTGACTCGTCGGCCTACAATGTAATGATCAGGGGATATACGAAGAAGGAATTGCCTGAAAAGGCAATTCTTTTGTTCAGGCAAATGATAGAACAAATGGTGGAACCTGATGAGTTTACGTTTCCTTCAATTTTGAAAGCCTGTTCAAGGCTTAGAGCTTCGAGGGAAGGTGAACAAATCCATACCCATGTTTTGAAATTGCAAAATGGGTTTGGTTCTAAAGAGTTTGTTGAGAATGCTTTGGTTTTTATGTATGCTAGTTATGGTCGAGTTAATTTGGCGCGTCAAATGTTTGATGAAATGTCTAAAAGAAGCGCTATTACATGGAACGCGATGTTTTCGGGATATGTTAGAGCTGGTTATTGGCAAGAAGTTATTGGGTTGTTTCGGAAAATGATCGAAATGGATGTTGGTTTTAATGAAGTGACGTTGATTAGTGTTTTGACAGCTTGCGGGAGGGTCAGGGATTTGGACTTGGGAGAGTGGATTTACGAGTATGTAGAGGTGAACGGACTAATGAAGAATGCTAACTTGGTTACTTCACTTGTTGATATGTATGCAAAGTGTGGCCGTGTAGATATTGCGAGCGGTTTGTTTGATAAACTACGTACAAAGGATGTCGTTGCTTGGAGTGCAATGATCTCGGGCTATAGTCAAGACAATCAGTGCAAGGAAGCACTTGCTCTCTTCCATGAGATGCAAAAGACTAATGTGGAACCAAACGAGGTGACAATGGTTAGCGTGCTTTCTTCTTGTGCCGTCCTTGGAGCTCTAGAAACTGGAAAATGGGTTCATTCTTATATAAAGAAGAACAACTTGAAACTTACAGTCACACTAGGGACGGCGTTAGTTGATTTTTATGCAAAATGCGGGTGCGTGGATAATGCGATTGACGTGTTCAGAGTAATGCCTTCAAGAAATGTGTGGTCATGGACGGTGCTAATTCAAGGTCTAGCTAATGATGGGCGAGGGAAAAGAGCTCTCGAATTCTACAGTTTGATGCTGAAAGAGAATGTGGTGCCAAATGATGTGACTTTCATCGCCGTCCTATGTGCTTGTAGTCATGCAGGCTTAGTCGATGAGGGTAGGAGCTTATTTGCAAGTATGAGCCGAGATTTTGGCATCGAACCAAGAATTGAGCATTATGGTTGTGTAGTCGACATGCTTGGACGAACAGGGTTGATTGAAGAAGCGTATCAGTTCATAAAGAACATGCACATCAAACCAAATGCTGTAATATGGAGAACTTTGCTGGCCTCATGTAGAGTTCATAAGCATGTTGAAATTGGGGAGGAATCACTGAAGAATGCAGTTAGATTGGAACCTGCACATAGTGGAGATTATATACTACTTTCTAATCTATATGCATCAGTAGGCAGATCAGACGACGCTACGAGTTTGAGAAATGAGATGAAAGTGCTCGGAATTAAAAAGAACCCCGGATGCAGCTATATAGAATTGGATGGTATCATTCACGAGCTTTTGGCTGAAGATAAAGGGCACGAGGAGTTGGACGAGATATACAGAGCAACAGAGGACATGGTCGAGCATATTAAGCTGGCTGGGTATGTGCCTAACATTGCAGATGCAAGACTAGATGCTGATGGACATGACAGAGAAGTTTCGATTTCGCATCATAGTGAGAAACTGGCCATTGCTTTTGGCCTTATCAGGACTTCGCCTGGGGCTGCAATCAGGGTATCAAAAAATCTAAGAATATGCATAGACTGTCACAATGCAACAAAAGTCATATCGAATGTTTATGATAGAGAAATCATCATCAGAGACAGGAACCGTTTCCACCACTTCAAAGATGGGTCGTGTTCTTGCAATGATTTCTGGTGAACTACTACTGGGTCAACAAAAGGGACAGTTGTTAAGTTCATTAATATGTTTACTGCCTTGTATCTCATTATAATCTCTTTATAACTGGAACTTAAGCATATCGATTGAATTCATATTCAGATTAACAAACTTCAAGCACACGGTCAAAATCCAAAGAACACCATGTAGCAATAACTAGGAATAAATAACATCAGATATATAAAGAACCACTAGGCAAGTTTACTGCACATAGCTCCGACGCTAGTCTGGAGATTCAAACATGCCTAAAAAACATCCCAACAAAACACGATCAACAGGCATCACAGTGAGTTCCCAACATCCTTACATTTATTTATAGCATTTATATACTAATATATGGGGGGTGATATTGGACCTTTTATTTAAAGAAGATGCTACTGCTCTTCAGCAATAAGATCCATAACCACACCTGTAATACTTCCATCGTTCTTCTCCAGCAGTTTCTTGTTCAGTTCTGTATCATGAAAACCCTGCATCAACAACCCATAGAAACCAAATGAGGTCAGAATACACAAAAAACAATTAGGGAAATGGGAGAAATGAAAAGAAATAGAAACGCACCATTTCCCCAAGCTCCTCGAGAATATGATCCCACTCAGAAACACCACAAAGATCGTCCACTGTTTCCTGCAAGTCGTACTCATTCTTCCTCAAAATCTCCCTGTTCAAATTAACCTGTTTGAAGCCCATTGCTTCAAGTTCCCTAAGTAGTTTCTCCTCAACTTCATTCTTTTCTGATACTGATAGGGGTGCATTTTGAAGAGGTGGAGGCACGTCAGGAAGAGGTGGAGCTTGAGAAGGTAAAGGGGGTACTACCTCATAGAGATCATTAACAGGATACAAAACAGATGGAGGTGCTGAAGGCAAAGAGTTCGACACAGCAACACTTCCAAACAACAAGCTATCATCAATGGGGAACCTGTTCTCGTGCTCATTGCTTGGCTGCACATCAACCATTGGTTCACTTACTTCCATGTTGTCATTGGAGTTAATGGGCGCAGGGTGACCGTCCTCCACCATGGGTTCTAGATCCATATTTATAATTTCAGGACTAGTTAAGCCATTGCTTGGAGGAGGAAAATTAAGATTCAAGTCACGGACTCTCTCATGTAGAGGCTCCTTAACAGAAGCATCAACCTACAGAACACAAAGGGATTGCCGAAATGTACTAAGTAGAAAGTAAAACATTAACTACAGTAAATAGTTTTGTTAACAAAACTTTCCATACATGGATGAGAACCCAAACACGTTGTCCGAACTTTTGGCCAGTAGGGCAGGCCATCCTCCAATATGAGATATACCGACCTGGAATCTCAGGAGCAATAAAATCAACTGCAACATCTAGCTCATGGTCTACTGGTAAACCGGCCACGGGAACCTGACATTCCATTGATCTCATTATGAATAAGAAAAGTCCATTAAATTATTTAGCAGATAAACAAGATGACACCATTAGCTCCCAGACCCAAAAATTAAAAAATGATAAGAAAAGTTTAATCATCTATAAGTAAAAAATGAGAGACAAAATGTATAACCTAAGTTTCCCTTTCATGTCAATCCAGTTACCTTTCCATTTAGAAGACAAAAACTAAATGAAAAGGGAAAATAAGAAACAATTCATAACGAGCAAGTAGGCCTACAAACATGTCAGAGGGGAATAAGACTCTGACCAGACCCAAAAGGAAAAAATGGAAAAAACTAAAGAGCTATTAGAAACGAAACTAATGTTGCAATGACGACAAACCTCTAATTCAATAGCAAGTGATTTATTTAGTTTGTCTCCTCCAATCCAGACAAGTTGAGTTCTCTGTGGCCACACTACCGTACCATTGTTTCTCATCCTCCAAATCTTGGTAAATGGAGTTAAAGGGGCCACCACAGTACCATCTATGACATTCACATCCTGAATGAAGCGACTATCAAACTTGGGTATAACTGGTTTAACCTTGCAACCCCTGATAGCCTGTGACATTAAATCAGCCTGATCCCTGGGATGCTGCAATGGGAAAATTTAACAAGAGCAACACAGTCAAAAATAGAAAAGGTATGGGCATACGCTAGACTAATGCTTATAAAGAAACAAAAAGAAATGATTATACACACAAGGCCATGCAACCCCTTTTTAAACAAGGGGTGTCGATAAGATATTGGACAATCAATTCTGATGTAGTCGGTATCATTTCCTATTTCGGCAAAGCAGATGCTGCAGAGATCATAATCCTCTTTTCTGCAGAAACAAACTGAATAGGTAAGTCTCTGGGGATCCCTCATAACAGCTAAATTGTAAATTGATCAGAAAACTTATTAGGGTGGGGTCTCACACTTTTGACTTGAACCTGGGACCAGTTATAGGGTAGGCCCCACAACCATCGCAACGAACACCCCGATGGAAGACATTCCCAGTGCCATCATTTTGTCTAATGCTCCTCCTTTGAGAAACAGAATGTGGTGGGGTAGCAGAGTCATTTCCAACAGGTACTGCCGAAAATGGACTTTGACTCACAAGACTAGGGTCCATCCAAACACCATCATGAAATACATATTTTATACTGCCATCTGGATAGTTCCATGGCGTATGAGCGGGATAAATAGTTGGAGCACTCATTTTGGCATTCTTCCATCGAAGAAAATCCAGCCCAGCCTTAATAGGCTTTTGTACATCAGATGTGTAATTTGAAGGTGTCAAACAAACCTTCTCAGTTGTATCAGCACTGGATGTTCCTGCAAAGCATTTTTCTTGTGAGAGAGAAGAGACAGGAACTACGCTCGGTTTAGGATCCACGCCTACTGATTCACATAGAGAATCATGGCAAGGGTTGCCAACATAAGCATTCACAGCTTCAGGTGCTTTGGAAGACGAGGCCTCCACGCTACCTCCTTTTACGGTTCCTAGTTTGACCTCATTTTTTTCTGGGGTTGTCTGAGGTATGTATTTTGCTGAGCTCTCGTGGTTTTTCAAAGGTTGCTCATTTGGTCCGACGCTTGACAGGACCTTTGATGTCGATGGATCAATCATGGAGGAATTCCAATGCTCAGTATCTGTGATACTTTCACAAACCTCAATCTGGGTATTACGCTGCGCTCCAGGTTGGGAATCAGAAAGCTGATCAAGGTAGGACAAACCCCTGTCGGAGAAGTGATCAACAAGCTCGGCTATACCTGGCACAGATGAAGACACTTTTGATGCCAACTCAATCAATAGCTTCTTTACAGTTTCCTGTAGAGGTTCTGGCACAGATTTCAAAATTTCGGAGATATTAGGGTTCAGATTCTGAAAGGGTGTCTGAACTCGAGACAAGGGAGGAAAATTTCCACTTGAACGAGCTTGTTTCACAGTAATCCTCAAGGGGTTCAGGGCCTGCCTCACCACATCACGCAGATCATCATCATCAACAAGTGCAACCTCGTCACCATCTTCATCAATATAAGTCAGCATGAGCGAGGTATCTACAGGAAAGTTGAAAAGGAAAAATATCTGCATTCTCAGTCCTTCTATATTGAAATTCAGTCCCTCATCAATAATTTTGGCAATGAAGCGCCTGAGTGTATCCCCATACTTGATCTGTAGAAATGTCACAATAGTACCAACATTAATAATCAAGGCAATTGAGATTATACAAGCCTAGGTACAAACAAATGATCAATTGACTAATGAGAGTTGAAAACACACAGAATTAAGCTACAAGGTAAACTGACACTGGGCAAATATCTAACTAAAGATTTCAGACCATTAAAACAAAATATAGTCTCATTCATTATATATCACAAACATGAAAATCGGAAAGTTAACAAATTCAGCATTGAAAAAGCTTAACGAGGGATGTCTCTCTGCAAGTATTTCAATCAATTCGGCACGGATTTTGACAAGATTTGACTCTGCTTCAGTTTAAGGCACAACAATAAATACATAAAATTCATCTCAGGCAGATTTATTTAAAAAAGAAAAATAATAAAACCCAGAACAAAAAAATTGTTAAAAAAATGATATCTACGAGAATTTAAACCCCGAAATTCTCTTTACCAAGCAAAAGAGAAAGAAATCAAAGTGTCCTGCGCATTTTCTTCTATGAGTTACAAACTAAGTTGGGGCTTAGAGAACATCAAAGCCTGAAAGATAACACCCAAACTTAGCATGCAATTGAGTTATTTAACTAAAACTTCACTACTAAAAACATGCCCATAATAAATAAATGTATAAAAAAACTTAACTGATTACAGAAATAGGGGAAAAAATCAATAATTAACGGTACATACAGAACATACAAATCGATATAACGATTAAAAACGAAAAAAGAACAGAAAAATAAGAAGATAAAACTAACCTTGATCACTACTGTAGAAGCCTCCATAACTTTCAACAAAAGCCGAGATTCACAAATCGCGTTACAGACAAACCCACAAAAACCCTTTAATTGTTTTTCTATTTAAAACCCAAACTTAAAAGAAGAACCTTAGCCATATAATTAACGGAAAATTCCAGTAAATTAAATGGAAATCAACGTTGAAAAAGCCAAGAAATCAAGTAATTTTCCGACGATTAGCTCATATTAAATCAATAGCTAAGCTACCATTTTTCTCCCTGGAACAAACTGTGAGGAATCAGGAATGGGAGTTGAATGGAAACAAAGTCGTTGTGTACTGTACGTACTTGTAGTGATTGAATGAGGAAGCAGAGGAAAAATAATTTATTTCATTATTTTATTATTACTTTGTTTTAAAATCAGCATTTATTTATTTTTTCCCTTTTCTTCTCGCTGAGAAATCTTCTGAGCTAAGGAAACTAAAAAGTAGTCGGGTTTATCTCAATGGAAGGAAAATAAATAAGTTGACCATTGACGAGTAATCCTAATGAGGGCGGATTTGGTCACGGAGATGTAGAAATAGTATTTCAAGATCCATTACGTGTCCAAGATCTTTTGTTTTTCTTTGACATCTATTATTTTGACACAAATCTTTTTGGTTCTTAAAAATGAACAGTTTAAAAAGGTTCAATTGGCCTAAATAAATTTATATACTCGTATTTAACATCAATTTAAGTGACAGCACTAGGACATTAAATTATAAGTTTAATTAAATGAATCACATAATTTTAATTTTAATTGAATCTATTACATAATGCTACATAGTCCAGTGTTAGATATCATTGGTGTCGGATATTATTATTCTTTCCAAAAAAAACATTTTTATTGTGCTCTCGTTTGGTGCACATTTTTGGAAGAAGAATGCATTTTTACTGTTGATGTGATAGGGAATATGTAGTTGAAAAAGAATGAAAAATTATTGATGTGATGGAAAACATTATTTTATTGAAAAATGTGTAGTTAAAAATGAGTAGAAGAATGAGAATGAAAAAATAATGTGACTCAAACAGGGGCCATAGTTACACTTCTAATCCTTATAATTTCAAATTAATACATCAATACATTGCCAAACAACCCCTTTGAAGAATAGAATTCACTAGCAATTTCAAATGAACTGTGGTTACATCTCTTATTTTCAAAAATTTCTAGTATTGGTTTCAATTTTTTAGATGTATTAAAACATATTTCAATTTATTAAAAACTTTAATGAATGCGTTCACAACATTGACCAGTCCAACAACTTCTGAATCTAATAATGAATTTTGATAGAGGATGTAAACTACCTAAATTATTCTAAAGTGATCGATGACTGATGCTTGCTCGAGTTCTCACTTCAACGCGTATTTTGCCCTAGCCATTCATGTATTTTATTCATAGACAACCATAAACTATTATTTGTGATTATAAATAGAAAATATTTTTAAGGTACGAATAATATAAATGTCATTAGAAGTCATAAGAGTATAAAATCACAAGGCAATGTGATGAGTTGTTTTGAAACGTGTAGGCCCGGGCAAAAAAACAATCGAAAAATCAATCAAACCAATCAAATCGAACCGACTCAAACCGGTTCGAGTCAGTTTGACGTAGATAATTGGTTTGGTTATTTTTTTAAAAAAAAACAAAACCATGGTGGATCGGTTCAACCATAGTTTAAAGCCTGAAACAGCAGGTTAACCGAATCGACAATCCACTTACATGTTTATCTTTTTTATTTTAGTTTTCTTTTTAAGAAAAATAAAAATCAAAAGATAAGTCTTAATTTCATAAGTATATCTCGATGCCCTCCAATCTATGATATTGCCAGTAAGTAATAACACTTAAAATTTCTTTTCACAAGCTCATTTAAAATATTTTCTCTCTTCTCAAACAGTCATGTTACATAATGCATAAAAAAGTATCAAAATTCTTAAGTTTTCTGTTGATCTGCCTTTATTATCTTGATTTTATTAGGTAGTCAATCATTCTTGTAATATAAAGTTATTTAGTTATTTTAGTTCTTATAATTTAAATAAGCCCAAAATTCAAACAATTTTTATTTAAAAAAAAAAAAAAAAAAGTGTAAACCGACTAATCGAACCAAACCAAACCGATTTGATTTGGATCGTTTTGTTTTAAGAGTTAAAATGGATTGGTTTGGGTAGAAATTCACCCAAACCGACTAATTTGATTTTGGTTTAGGGCTGGAGCTGAAATCGACCCAAACAAAACCTTGTTCAGGCCTAGAAACGTGAATGAAATAGATTTTTATTTTGATTATATTATTTGTATATGATTTTGTACTAGTGCTCTCATTTCTCTTAAGAACTTATAAAATTACAATTATCTTCCAATTTACTATTTTCTGTAAGCGAAAGAAGTGATCAATTAGTTATACAAAATTAATTTTGTGCTTTATCAGTCAATTGTAACATAAAGAGAATTTTAGGCACATGTCTTAATCATTAGTAAAAGAAATTCATTGACAATATCAGAGGAATGTGTTTAGGGGTATATTCTCACGAGAAGTGCTAAGGGTACATTTGAGTTTACATAAGTGTTGACATAATACTCATATGGGGTTTTGTGGGTCCCATACGTGAGTATCATGTCAACCCTTAATGGATAAAAATTATGTACAAGTAGAATTTTTGTATTCTCATCATACTAATTAAAAGATGTTTGATCTTTATTCATCGTCACGTTTATGTTGCTATAAGCTACATACAAACTCCTTTTTTAGCTCTACGAGAAAGCCTTTATTTGAGCGATGCGCGAGATAAATCTACTTTCAAAGTCGAGAACTGTTGTTGCTGGGTTGGTTCCTTAAAAATCACAAAAGGATGGCGCAAGAACAGCTACGGCCATTTATTTTCTGTAGTTTATGTCCTTTTGAGTACTTGTATTAAGATCAAAGAAATTCTTAAGAAAAGATGCAATAAAGAGAAGAACTTCTTGGGCAGGCAAGAACCCGATTATCTAAGACGCGGGGATGCTCTGCAAATAGACCTCCCCCTTTGGACATAGATCCGCACACCCACTCAGAATGGTTACTGGACAAGGATTGGTTGTCCAACAGCGATTTCGAACATTAC